TTTTATTATTGGGTAGTCGTAGGGAAAAATTGAATTTTTCAAAAAACACGTCTTTCGAAATTCTTTCAATTCGGGCAATAAAATAAATATTACCAGGAGATTCAGCACAGTCGATAGCCTATATACCACATGTTTTTGAGGCTTCCAGAATCCAGATTTAGCCGATAGGTGAGTTTCTGGAAATTGCCTGTAATACCCAAACCACAGTGGATGAAAACCTGGAACTCTGCCAGAATATAGAGGAACATCTGCTCTATAACTCTATGTATTCAGAGCAGTATTTCTTTGTACGGATTTTTAGAAGAGCAAGCTCAGACTTCTTGCTTCAATCGGTTTTGGTTCAAACGGTTCATGCTTGAAACAGATAGCACTTTTCGTTTTGAAATTAGGGCCTCCTGGACACATCTTTTTGCCGATTTGAGTTCGGCTGAAAAAGTACTCCTGGGTTAATTTAGTATTTAATATTTTGTACATAAACAATAAATAGTTGCCAATGAGATAAAGCTGATTTGGCTTTCAGTTCTCGACTGCAATGTTGTAGGTATGAGTGATAAATTTGGATCTTTTGAGACTAACGAAGACCAAAATGAGTGTGACTTTTGAAAAAAGATCTTTCATGATTGTGATATGAACATTAACAGAGAATGTATTGGGTTATTTGTATTGGTTAGGATGTCACGCCAGTTGGAATTGTCACAATTGAAAACGTCTACATCCGGATGATGTCGTTCATTTCTCATGTTAATCGCTTAATTATGATACGTTCTCGTGCAATATTTTTCATATGTCACTTTTGATACATTATAAAGTATATTATTCCAACAATTGATTTCTATTCTATATATTTTACCGAAAATTTATTTTTTTATGTTTTTGAACGAAAAGTCGACTTTTAAAGCAGCAAGCATTTTATTTTTTCTTCTTATATATGGTGCCTTCCAGCATGATTCCTTTCATAGAAAGAAAACAGAGTTTGAAAACATTCAGTCTGGTCGACAACCATCGTGTTTTTTTCCCATTGTTGAAAGAACAGTAATGCTTTTTTTATTCTCTCTTTTTTCTTATGAATATTTTTATACTAATTTCTATTTAGTTATTAATTTATAATTACATTGAAAATAATCATCTTTGCTTCATTAAAGAAAAAGAAATGATTAATCTGCGATTAATCGATATTATCCTGTGTCATCTTTCAAAGAATCTACATCATTCTGAAAAATTCCTTAGTTTAGACTATATATTTCTATTTGTTCTGTACTAAATTTAATCTATATTATTGTAACAGCAGTGTAGCACTTGCAACAGCAGTGTAGCACTTGTAACAGCCGTATAGCACTTGTAACAGCAGTGTAGCACTTTTCTGAGCATTTTTTCAGTAATCTGATGTTAAATAGACCTGATGTTTCAAGCGGACGTAGCTGGAAAATGATATTTTAATGTAAGAAGATGTCCCTGTAGTACAGTTTTTACCACTGTAGATGAACTGTATTAAAATAGAAAGCACAATAACAGCAGCGTTTTTTAGCTTCATTAAAGTATTTTATTTAATTATCAATTATTTTCGACGTTTCGAACTATACAAAGTTCATTTTCAAGAATAAAAACACGATGTACGTAACTTATGAAAACGAAAATGTTATTCATTTAGCGCAAGTAAGAAAAATAATTGATAATTAAATAAATAAAATACTTTAATGAAATTAAAAAACGCTGCTGTTATTGTGCTTTCTATTTTGAAATTATTGCCCATTAATCGTAAGAACTGTATTAATTTAGTACAGTACTTCAACATTGTTTTCTGTTAAGAATCCACGATGAACTTTTGAAAATTTATTATTTAGATTAATGTTAAACTCATTTCCTTAAAAATTAGTCTTTTTAAAAAACTTAGAAAATATTTTGATCATGCACGATGATCGGAAGAAAATAACAATGTATCCACAAGTCAAAAACGATATGATGGTATGTTCGTTATCATTTCATTTATTCTTGTCTGAAACATAAGCTCCTTGTTTAGTATAGACATGTTCATCGTATATATAAGCTTACTATTTATATTAATGAACTGTTTAGTAATCACACCAATCCCGTTAATCCCCAATCTTTTCAATTTGTACCATGTAGATACATCTTTTTTGTAGTTGAATCACAAGGACTAAAACGTCGTAGCTATAAAAGTCATGTGAAAACGAGAAACAAAAGTGTTGCATTGTACTCTTCTTTTTTTCTCTCAATCTTTTCGTTTACCAGAATCGTTTATTGTAAGGGGAAACAAAACAAGAGGACAAAAACGAATAATCATAAATTAGACATTAAATTGGTACAAATTTACGCATTCGTAACTATGAATACTTTATATCATACGATCTCAATGCAAGCGGTACTATAAAAAAATCTCCTTTAGACAACAGTAACATAACGTCGTATTCAAAAAAATATTTCCCTACAATTAGAATTAAACTTTTTAATATAATTTCTTAGAAACAATTCTAGTTTTTTTCCATTTCTACATTACATCATTTTAAGATCCTTCCATCCTTTTTTTTTTGATTATCATATTATAAACTGGTAAGATGATGTGTTTGTGTTTGTTTTAAAGAGAAACTATATCAAATTGAAACGATTTATAACCACACAAAACCGAATTGCAGTATTGCTACTATTTGTTCTAATCATTGGCACTCTTCTACTATTTCGATCTTATCGTTCCATGGATATTCCACAGACTATCGAACAATCAAATGAACCTGTTCATGTCGACTTTTATGTTATGTCAAAGTATGTATATATAGTTAGAACGATCTACAAATGTTTAATGCTCTATCATTTATTCTATTCGTTCAGATGTCCAGATGCTAAACTTTGTGAAACAAAATTTGCTGATACATTAATTAAATTATCATCGATTATTAATTTTACCGTTAATTTTATTGCTACAGAACCAAAACCAAATGAATTTGAATGTATGCATGGTAATGATGAATGTACAGGTGACAAACAACAATTGTGTGTACAACATCTTGCAAGTCAAACAGTTTTACTTAAATTTTTACAATGTCAATCAGAGACAATATTAAATATACCGGATAATGCTGAAAAATGTTTAACAGATACAAGTTTAAAATATAGTGATGTAAAAACCTGTGTTGATGAACAAGGAAATTTATTACTTCATAATTCTATTCAACGAACAGTAGCAAGTAAAGTAAAAAATTCATGTACAATGTATTTAAATAACAAGTTTTGGTGTAAACATGACGGTGTATGGACAAATTGTGCTGAAGGAAATGATGAAACAAGTTTAATAACAGCAATTTGCAAACGTTATACGGGAGAACGAAAATCAACAATATGTCCAACATAATTAAAAATTGAAATCAAAACCATTTTAGATATAAGCGTTTATTCTTTTATACATTTTGTTAACGTTACTTGTTAAATAATAAAATGTTGTTCTGTGTTGAAAATTGAATTCAACATATAACATCAATCAAAAGTAGAGAAGTGTTAATTTGATCATGAATAATGCTGACGTATTTTATAAAAATCGAATGATAATGAGATTAACCCCCCTCCCCCACAATAGGAGCCCTTCCATATAAGAAGCCCCCCCCCCCCCCCCCCCCGGGGGAGCCCCCCCAGGAGGGGGGGCGGCGGACCCCAGTGTATTTTTTGTACAACCGCCCCCACCCCCAAACGAGGAAAA